TTAGCCTTTATCACGGCCGCATCACACTAGCAGCTCATAGTCCCCCCGTGATGGACCCATACACCCAGGTCTCTCCTCCTCCATTGCTTCCAGCGGAGACGTCCCCAGCTCACCGTGCCTTGTGTAACGGTCCCAGCACTTCCCTGTCCCTTGGCCTCTGCCTGTGAACGCCCGGCAGTGCCCAAAGGGGCTTGTTGCTAGTACATGTCTCCCCCTCTCTGTGTCCCAGCCTGCGGCGGGGAGCCCCGCTGCCCTCTGTCCCGGGGGCTGGGCCCTGCTGCAGGGGTGATGCGCTGTCTCCCCACAGGCTGCCATCAGCATCTTCGGCATGGTGGGCGGGCCGCTGCTGGGACTCTTCTGCCTAGGGATGTTCTTCCCGTGTGCCAATCCCACCGTGAGTGTCCCTCCCGCCTGGGCCCCTCCCTAGGGCCTGCGGGCCCCAGCCCCGGGCTGGGCCTGTGTCTGCTCCCATCCCCTTCGGGTCTGGCTGGGGCGGGGGGGCGCAGCAGGCACGGTACTGGCCAGGCCCCAGCCGCTGTGAATCGCTGAGCTCCGCTGCAGTCGACACAGCACGGGGGAAACTGAGGCCGCGCCCAGCAGGGAGATGGATTCAGCTGCGGCATGGCCCCTCCACCAGCTGGGCAGGGGTCTCGGTGCCTCCCCAGCGGGGTGGAGCAGCCCCTCGGGGTCAGGGAGGTCCCCGGAGCTGCACGGGCTGCCCCTGACTGCTGTCCCCGTGTGCAGGGTGCGATCGCCGGGCTGGTAGCCGGGCTGGCCATGGCCTTCTGGATCGGCATTGGGAGCCTGGTGTCCAACCTGCGGGCGGCCCCCTCGGCCCCGCCGCTGTCCAACATCACCGACTTCCCGCAGGCCAGCAACCTGAGCACGGCCCTCGCCACCACCCTGCTGACCTCGACCCCGGCCCCAAAGCGGTGAGTGGGGGAGCGGTGCTGCAGGGGGGTCTGGCCCCAGCCCTTCCCTGAGCATCTTGGCCACGGGGGAGGGTGCTGGGGACAGGGCTCCGCGGGGGGAGGGTGCTGGGGACAGGGCTCCGCGGGGGGAGGGGGCTGGGGGGAGGGCTCCGCGGGGGGAGGGGGCTGGGGGGAGGGCTCCGGTGCCTGCCAGGCACAGGGGAGGCTGCTGTACCCCCGCTGGAGGCTGCTGGGAGACCAAAGGAGCATCCCCCGAAGGGGTGAAGAGGCGTTAACCTCCTGCCGGGCTGCAGACGGAGGCACGCGGGGCCCTGGGCCCGCCGAGGGAGCAGAGACGTCCAGTGGCGGCTGGAGCCTGTGCAGGTGCCAGGTCCCCAGCTGCCCCCTAACCCGGCTGTTCCCCCCACAGCCTCTCGGGGCTCCAGAAATTCTACAGCCTGTCGTACATGTGGTACAGCGCCCACAACTCCACCACCGTCATCCTGGTGGGCTTGCTGGTCAGCCTGCTCACGGGTACGTGCGGGGGGGCTCCTGACTGTGGGGGGGGGGCGGGAGTGAGGGGCTCCTGGCTGTGCATGGGGGGGTGAGAGGTTCTCATGGATCCAGAGGATCTGGCTACCCCCCAGTTCTAAGCAGGCCCTGGTGTGCCAGTCCCGCAAGGGGAGGGCTCCTGCCTCAGCCCGTCGCTCTGCCCAGCAAGTCCCGCTGAGCCAGACGCCCGGGAGAGACTCGGCCGCTCTGCAGGGACCCCTGCGCCCGCCAGTGCCTGCAGGGACACCAGGCAGCCTTTCCCCCAGAGCAGCTCTCGTGGGGGGCCCTTGGCTTGGCCCAGGGAAGTCGGGGTTAAGTCCCTGCTGGCCGACGCCAAGGCTGCTAGAGCCAGCCTGCTCCAGGAACCAGATCCCTGCCTGCCGGAGCTTCCCACTGTCCATGGGTCTGTCCTGGGCTCCCACTGTCTGCCTGGTCGCGGCTCTAGCTGGTCCTAGCCTTCGGCGGTGCTGCGCTCCCACCTCCTGTCTCCTACCCAAGAGCAGCCCCCACAGGCTGGCAGCCCTGAGCCCGGCGGGTCACGGCCAGGCCCGTAGGTCAGGGACAGGACAGAAAATCCCACTCTCGGCTGTGTGGGGGCGGGAGGGAGGGAGGGGCTGAGGGGCGGGGGAATGAAGGGCTCGTGGCTGTGGGCGGAGCTCACGTTTGGGGCCCCCCCAGGCTCCCTGTTAGGCTGGGGGCTGGATGCCCATGACCAGAGAGCAGAGGCTACGGCCCAGCATGCAGCGCTGCCCTTGGGGGGCGTCTGTCCTGAGGCCAGGGGCTGCGGCCTGCCCCAGGCACAGCCGTGGGTGCCGTGTGGCTGTGGGCTCCTGGCCATGGCCGGTCCAGGCTGGGTTGCCCCAGGGGAGGGCAGGGAAGGAGAGAATAGACCCAACCCTGCCTCCCCTGGCACCGGGGGTCTCTGCGCTCCGGGCCTGGGGAAGGGCAGGCTGAAGTGGGGACGTAGGGCCTGGCCTGGCACCAGGAGCAGGACAGTCTGAGGGGCGCAGGGGCCTGTGTAACCCCCTGTGCTCTGTCCCTCGCCCTGGCAGGTCCCACCAAGGGAGCGACCGTCAACCCTCGCACCATCTACCCCGTGCTGCCCCGGCTGCTCTGCTGCCTGCCCCAGAGGTACCGGGAACGGCTGAGCTGTGGGGTGGGCTGCTCCGCTGAGGTGAGTGGCTGGGAGCCCTGTGAGTGCGGCAGGGCAGGCCGGGACCCCAGTTACCATCCCTGCCCGGCGACGCGCCCCCACGTTATTCCATACGGTTCCCGCCCGAGCCCCCGTCGTCGCCGGGCACAGCCCCTGTTGCGAGACTGCTCTCAGGGGGGCTGGGCGCGCCAGCAGGGGGCCGGTCGGCTCCGCAGGCCTGGAGCTGGGCATGGCCGGGGGGGCTCGGCTGGTCCTTGTTTCATCCAGACTAGGCCCCGTGGCAGCTCCGTCTCCCACCCAGGCGAGCCTGGCCCTGGTGGGGGCCTGAGGACAGAGCTGTCGACCTCCATCCCCACCCTGGAGCTTTCGGCTCCGAGATCCACTGGGCCCAGGCCCTGGGGCGCCCCAGAGGGAAGGGCCGAGACCTTGAACCTGGCCTGATGCCCGTGGGCAGGTGGGATGTGCTGGCAGGAGCCTGGCTGTGGAGGAGACGTGCTGCAGAGGCTGGGCTGGCTGGAGTCCCCGCAGTGCCCAGGGCTCCCTGCCCAGGTGTGTCACGTTGCCGTGATGCAGATGGGGGGTGTAGAAGTGGGGCGGGGTCTCCTAGCCATGGAGGGGGTGGGGTGCGTTCGGCCCGGAGGCAGGTCACAGCACTGGAGGCTGGCATCGCTCGCCCTGTGTCCGGTAGCTCCCAGCCCGCCGGTCACGCCCCGAGTGTGTGTGCCCCACACGCTCACTCTCCAGCACCCTGGCTGGAGCCCCACTCGCTTCCACAGGCCAGGGGGCCCTGTCCCAGACAGTCCCCGGCTCTGGGCTCCATACAGTCCCGGGGAGAATCATAGAATCTCAGGGTTGGAAGGGACCTCAGGAGGTATCTAGTCCCACCCCCTGCTCAAAGCAGGACCAATCCCCAACTAAATCATCCCAGCCAGGGCTTTGTCAAGCCGGGCCTTAAAAACCTGTAAGGAAGGAGATGCCACCACCTCCCTAGGTAACCCATTCCAGTGCTTCACCCCCATCCTAGTGAAATAGTGTTTCCTAATATCCAACCTAGACCTCCCCCACTGCAACTTGAGACCATTATTCCTTGTTCTGTCATCAGGTACCACTGAGAACAGTCTAGATCCATCCTCTTTGGAACCCCCCTTTCAGGTAGTTGAAAGCAGCTATCAAATCCCCCCTCATTCTTCTCTTCTGCAGACTAAACAATCCCAGTTCCCTCAGCCTCTCCTCATAAGTCATGTGCTCCAGCCCCCTAATCATTTTTGTTGCCCTCCGCTGGACTGTCTCCAATTTTTCCACATCCTTCTTGTAGTGTGGGGCCCAAAACTGGACACAGTACTCCAGATGAGGCCTCACCAATGCCGAATAGAGGGGAATGATCACGTCCCTCGATCTGCTGGCAATGCCCCAACTTATACAGCCCAAAATGCCGTTAACCTTCTTGGCAACAAGGGCACACTGTCGACTCATAAAAATAACAGGAGTACTTGTGGCACCTTAGAGACTAACAAATTTATTAGAGCATAAGCTTTCGTGGGCTACAACCCACTTCTTCGGATGCATATTGAGTGAAACATATCGAGGAGATATATATACACACATACAGAGAGCATGAACAGGTGGGAGT